TTATATATATATATATATATATATATATATATGTATGTATGTATGTATGTATGTATGTATGTATGTATGTATGTATGTATATAGACACACACACACAGATATTAATAATCAAAGCATTGCATTGGAGATTGTAAAACATCAAATGGGAATAAAATTTATTGACGTAGGGAGTATAAAATTACTTCTTCAAGAAAGTTTCTTTCTATTTTCAAAACAAATAAAAAAGAAAAAAAGCAAAAAAAGAAGCAAAACTGCCTCGCATGTGCCATGTGAAGCAAGGTTACACGGTAATTCTATGCCATGCTTATCAAAGAAAAATCTGATGTGGCAGGGCGTGGTGGGCAAATGCCTTGCCACTGCTAGTGCTCTCTAATAAAGTTTCACCCTTCATTTCTTAAAAAATTATTTCTTTCGTCCCGATTTTGATTACAAATTACGGAAAACAAGGAAAATTTTTGAGTTTTTTCAATTCATTTTATTTAAATATTGAGGCATAAGTAACAAATAAGATTTACATTTTTAAAAACTACATCAAAAGTTTTACGAAATAAGAGGTGATAAGAATATTTTATTTTATTAAATAATTAATAAAAATATACAAATAAACAAAAATTATTGAGATTTTGGAATAGTAAGCATTGTAATCAATTGTGGGACGGAGAGAGTAGAAAAACAGGAAAAACACTACAGGAGGAGTAAAACATTAAAAATATAGTAAAATAAGAGGTTCATATTTTTATTTTTAAAATAGGAGTTAAAATAGATATACAATGTCAATCATGATTATATACATTACCAAAAAATATTGTGAAATATCCAAATACAATGTCACATTACTATATTACAAATTCTTATTTTAGATATAAAAATGTGGAACTCCTATTTTAGTACTTTCTTTATATTTTACTCCTATTTTAAGTCTTTGGAAAAAAATCTCACCATTCATTCGAAATTGGGATGGATATGGGCTTTGAGAGTAAGAGGTCATGGCACCCAATTAATATTTAGAAGTAAGCTCTGTTCTTTTGGATTGAAATTTCAGAATTCGATATTAGAAAAAATTGGAAAGAGTTGAAAAAATTTAAAAGAAGTTGGAAAATGTTTGAAAAATTGAAGTGTTACAAAGTCACTCAATAAAATGATCACCCAAATACATATATAAGAAAATCTAATTTTAGATAAAACAGAATACATTCTTGTTTGTGTTTGATGTGATATGTTATAAATTTGGATGTACAATGTTATTTTATATTCATCATATATAAATACAATTTTTTAATCGTTGTTGGGAGAAACTAGAAAGAATTTAAAAAATTGGAATGAGTTGGAAGAAACTCAAATAAATTGGAAAAAGTTAGAAGTTATTTTTTCTAATCCAAAAAAAGAGTTGTAGTGTTTTAAAAAATTTTATGGGATGGATCAAATAAATTGAAACTAAAATTCATATCAAATTCTCTCTTCATCTAAGTTTGTTTGTCCCATCAGGTTAGATGAATTTGGATTTTAATTTAGATAAAATTATACTCTTTATTACGAGTATCTTGTAGTATTACGCAGTACACAAACTAATTAATTAAATTTATCTGGTAATTTTTTAAAAAAGAAGGAAAAAAAATAAATTTAGCATATTAATATACAAATATAATGTTTTTTAAATAATTTTTGCCCTAAAAATTATTTTAATTGAAAAAAATCAAATCTGACATATCATTGAAGCTTTTCGAGTCGGTGGCAAATCCAAAAATTTGAATAGTTGGGGATAGTGTCGGTTGGAGCTCCAAAGACAGTGCCCTCAATTTTTTTTGGACCATGCTACACTTACACCAAAAATTGTACCTCATTTGTACACCGCAGTTGTACACAAACATATTAATGGTTTACACCGACACAAGTATTGGTGCGTTAACAAAAATTTACACGGACACAAAGTATTGGTGCGTTAACAAAAATTAGTTTTACACTAACACAAAATGTTGGTGCAAACCAACGGTGTACAAATGAGGTACCAAAGTTTGGGGTACAAATAGCTTTATCCTTTTTAATTTTAACTTGTAAAATAAAATGACAAAAAAGTGTTATCCATACTTTTTTTTTTGCAAAATAAATTTTAATCACGAGTTTTATTTTTCATCAAACATATTTCGCTTTTCATAATTAGGGAAAGTCAAGCTGTCATACTCCTAATTCTTTTATAAATAGGGGAAAAGGCTACTTTCCTTGGGGGTATATAGGGCAAGGTTCCCATGACATTAAAGAAGTTTATTGGGGGGATGTGGGGTTTATCGGGGGTTAGGGGGAGTAGGAACCGTCAATTTTACGAACGGGGCACCGGAGCGCCCCGGGTCATCCCATGACAACCAAGGTGGGGTATATATATGTAGAGGCTATTCCCCCCTTCAACTTTCCGTATCAATCTTGGCTCAACTTTTCACATGCCAAATTTGGACCTTGGATAGATGGCCAATTCTCCAAACATAGCACAAAATTTTTGTCTCTTAAACTTGCAAGAAAACCATCAAGATTTGCATTTAGATGACCACAACGACGGGTTCAAGACTCCGACTTCTATGGAGCACAAAATCCCGGCGATGACCCCATGCCTGCCCGCGCTCAAGAAAAAACCGCTGGAAGAAATAACCAGACGGAGAATCAAAAAAGCCCGAAGAGAAGAAGAATAAGAAGATAATGATGATGATGATTGGAAATATATGTATGCTTCAATAGGAGGGGGGGGTTAAGGGGTAGGAACCATCAATTTTACGAACAGAGCACCGTAGGGGCCCCGGGTCATAGTATGACCCGAGGTTCAAGGGTCAAAAGAACTATTTTGTTTTTCCAAACATAAGTTAATTGCATGCTAGTTAAGAAATACTCCCTCGTTCCGGAGTTTTATCTCTTCACCACTGTAAGATTATTACTACAATATACCTAAAGAAAGAACAAAAAACTACCAAAATCGTTATTTCAACCCCAC